GTTACTTAACAGCTAGAGTATTGAAAGTGAACTTGCTTTAACATTACCCGTTTTGTGGATTCCCACTTTTAATAATGCAAACATATATCTGCTCATCGAAAAACATCTAAGCCATTGATCCTCCGTGGTACTTTAAACAACTATCATGGATATTGCAAGTTAAACCATGTTCTCCAACTTGCACTGAAATAATTTAAGAAAAAGTTTACATGGGCATCATAGCATTCCCTCCTACATAAGGTAACACATTTGGAAATAAACTGCATTCTTTTCCTTCCTTCCTTCATAATCAGCAAGGAAAGAGATGAGTTTTTCAGTTCTCAAACTAGAAGTTTTGCCTCAAGGAAATGTATGACCCTTAGAAACAAAAATTAGTGCATTCACATGGGTCTAGCATTAACAGTTTAAAATATCCTTTATCCATCTTACATTTAAACAAAGACTAATTTCATCTTGCACATCTAGAATACTCACACCATACTACTAAAAACCAGTTAGCTATCAGCTGATCTGGATGAGCTTATTTAAGGAGTAAAAACTAAGAGAAACAAAAAAACTCTTTGTTAATCTCCAAGGGCATTAACTTGTCCTTTGAGTTCTTTAACTCATAATAATACTGAATATGAATCAAACTGAAAGAGTTTTTAGAACTTAATTTGCACCTTTTAGAGTTGAGTGCTCCAAAAATTTGGAACTCCTAAACATCGTAGTGACTCAAGACACACAATGTACTTTTCTCCCCTTTTTAAACTGCATGAATGAAAGACTGGCAAAAGCATGAAAAGGAAAAGGTGTTACAAGTGTACAAAGCATAACGCTTTTCTCCTGGAAATACTTAAGTTTTTCGCTACACAAATATATTACAGGAAGCTTGGCAGAAGCATCACAGGTGTGAGGGGGAAGGCAAGAAATTGTCACCCTACAATGGCATGTCTAGTTACGTCTGTTTTACCATCACAGCCCTTTATAGCACCCTGTGTTTAGTAGCAATATGGCAACTGCAATCAGAGCTCTTGCAGTTCCCTTGATTTCCAATTTCAGAGATGATAACAGGCAGGAATTTACCCCCGCCCCTTTCCTCACTCTTATATAGCTCCCCAAGCATCGCTATAAAGTCCAATACCTTAACTAAGCTCTGTACCTGGTGAGCATCCAAGACTCAACGTGCACTCTCACGTGGCTCCTGGAGGCCAAGTGTCCTGAAGGTTTCTTGCAGTGGCCTCTAAGGACCAGACAGCATGTTTAGGGTGACCAGCGCAAAAGGAATGGCTTCCCTTGCCGTGTGCACCAGCAGGCACTCCTCACCTTTCCGTTATGGGCACAGTGATGAAAGGAAGACACCGTCTATCCTTTCCATGTTTGCAAAAAAGGAAACTAAATTGAAATGCAACAGAACAGAAGCCGCAGCACTCAGTCAAAGTGAGAAGTACAACGAGGCCTTTGCATTCCAGATAGTACCACACTAGATTTTTCTGCAGTTTTCCTACATGCTGTTGAAGGGAAACAGGATAGGGATTTTGAAACCATTCATCTAACTAAAAAGAATACCTGCCTTACCAGCATTAGAACAGCAACAGACTGTATTCCTTATTCATAACCTAACATTTTAGTTAGGAGCACAACACCGAAATACTGTTTCTCTGAAGCCTCACACAGCAATAGTATGTCACCAATTACAGTTGATTATAGGTGTTGAAAACCTTGGAACGCAAACTCTGCCAAACTGCAAAGGCATACTAATCCTCTTCCAATACTCAGTTTCAGGAAGGAACAATAACTTATTTTCTAGTTAGAAAAGAATTAAAGCTTTCATGTCTTCTCAGACAAGTCTAAAACCTAGATTCTAGTTCAGTTATCATTTAGATCCTACCCTAATCCTAGCTGTTCTGAATCCTAAATCCACCTCTTCAATGAAATAAAACTACTCAACAAGAATGGCTTGCAAGGTCTTTGTATGGATGGACATACACACACACAAAGAAAAAAAAAAGACAAAGATACACAGGCCACACAACAACTGGGCTGAAAAAACTGCTGAGCAAGGACAGAGGATTAATGGCTGTGTAGATCCTCAATACTGTTAGCTCCTAACTCGCAGGCCCTAAAAGGAACAAGTAAAACTGTATCTCTAAAAGAAAGACAAACTATGACTAGTTATAATTTTTCTGAAAAAAGGCCCTCTGTTTTTGTTGATGTGAAACTGTAAAGGAAGTCATTTTATGACTTCAACAGCATGGGGATCAGGGCTTCCACCTAGTCTTTTGCTACGTATATCTGAACTTAAAATTTATACAGAGATATGACCTCATTTGCATCTTTCTAACTGGCACAGCATATATAGAATTTTTCGAAATGCTAGGAATAAAGGTTTACTTCACTCCACCCTTTGATTTCCATGTTTCTGTAATTAAAAAAAAAAAAAAACCCTAACTGGATTAACAAAGTACTATAGAAGTCAAAAAGTAGAAAACAACATACAACTATTTACATACTCTATTGGTTCCCTGCTTCTTGCAAACCAATCCTAAAAGCATAGGCCTCGTATGATGATTACAAACTTGTGTCATTCAGTTAGTTTGTAATCCAGACCAAGTACAGGCTTTCAAAATTTAAATACAATCTCATGTTACCTGGCCTCTGGCATTACCTTCGAATCTGTACAGCTAATAGACATCAATGTTTAAAGAGAAATAGCAGCCTCCAGACATTTCTACGGATTCTTACCAATTTTTCTAAGCTGCTGAGTAATAAATAAACCCTTTCTCTAAAAGTAGAGGCCTAAAACAAATTCTATATTAAATGAAAAATGTTTAGTAGTAAGATCAGATTTAAACTGAAGCACACACAATTTAATAATGCAATCTAATAAGAATTATCAAATTATTACAGATAAGTCCTTGGACTACACTGTTAAGGTTTTAAACTTTTAAAGGCTCTCTTCCCATACAGTTGGTGCAAGAATTTCCAAACAAGCATAAGGAGGAATAAGAAAAACAATAATCAATTAAACTCCACACTGCAAATTTCCCCATCTAATCTCTTCCTGAGTTTTAAATGACCAAAACACTGGAATTTCAATAAAATTTGTTCTGCAATATATTTAGCAGCCTTCCATAGTTAAAGCTATTCTATTACAGCAAATACATTTAAAATATCTGTTTCTATTCCCCTTCTAGAGCATACTGAGAAAATTTGGCAGCAAAAATGAATTCCTAATCTAAGCGGCTGCTCTGTTGTGACAGAATTTGCATGCACTGGTCAGAATAGACAGTTAAACAATATTGGCCTTTTTCTATATATAAACATTCCCTCAGAGACAATCTGAATTATTTCCTTAAACGAATTTCAAGCAACAGTAAAAGCCTTACACATTCAGGATTCAATCTCAGGCATAAGCCAAACAAAGACAGGGCCTGCCTGGCATGCTCTGCTCCCAGCACCACCGAGCTTGCTGAATTCTCCTTTAAGTCTCCTTAAAAAAAAATTCTCGCCCCTTCCCCGACCACCACTGCCCCCACTCTCACAGGGTCCCCTTTGGGTCCCCTCTAGCCCACTGCTTTGTGCTGGAGGAAGGGTTAAACCTCTCGTGCGCTAACACTTCATATCTGTGGCTTTGCAGCCTTTTTAACTTGCCTGACTTCTATGGCTGTGTATTTTGTCTCTGTGTCTAATAAAAGCCAGTGAAATGATTATGAAGACTGAGAAGCGTTCTCTGTATTTCTTATTAAGGAAGCAGAGTTGCGGTGACTTATGAGTATACTGTACAATGAAGTCACTAGGGAATAAAGATGTGACCATACATTCATCACTGCCTATCCCATGAAGCTGGGAGTAATTTACAACTGTTTGTGCCAACATTTAAAAAAAAAAAAAAGCTTTTTTAAAAATACGTTATTTTCTTGCTATTCTTAACTACTCCTGCAGTCAATAAATCTCAGTCTTCCAGTGCAAGTTTAGGAATGCAGGATTAGTACTAATTTAGTTTCCACAAAAATGATGCAGTACACTAAGACTAAGTAATACCTATGTTAAGATTTTCTTTCAAATGCTTATTCAAATGGCTGTTAACAACACTGATGATGTAAGAAACACATACTAAAAGCTTCCCCCCAAAAACCATGCTCTACTGCCATTTTCACAGAAATGAGAATATATACATTGTTAAAAGAAGGTGACAGCTAAAGCAGCATAAGACAGAATTAGATATCTAAACTTTTCTCTATTCAGATATTATGGGATGAATTCACTCTAGATCCAGATCTTAAAACAGACCCAGAACTTAAAACAGGTCTTTCATTCCAAGTCTTGCTTTTAAAAGGTATTTGGATACACAAGGCTTGGATCTAACTTAAGTGTTAATTCACAATATCTAAAAAAGGAAAGCACTCTAGTACTTTCTAAGTTTTAATTAACCAGAAGCTTGCAATAGTCACATTTTCAGAACAGGGAGGAGGGCAAGTAAAGGGGAAAGAGACAGACATTACCTCTTCAGCCATTATAAGTGTAATGTGCTTATATTTGGAGAAAAAGGAAAAACGCATTTGCGGAAACAAAGTTAAGATTTTTATTAATTTATTTTTAAATACTGACCTGCTGCTCTACTCCTGATAAATGAAGCTACTCCTATCTAAAGTGTCAGTATGAATTGGCCCTGGCAGGGCAGGTGGGAGAGGAGCTCTGTTTGGCTCTTTTCGGCATGCTCTGTGCATTCAGAGGGATCAGCTCATGACCTTTTTATGCAACATGACAGGTCCTATGTTAACATAGGAGTTTCAGTAGTCAGAGATCAGTGCTGAGAGGGTTAAGCCAGGGAGGAGTGTACATAAGGTGGTAGATTCAGAGCCAATGAAAATATTGTGCTATAGTTAGACACTGGATACTAAGCAATGGTGACTATAAAGGTTGCTCAAAGCTGAGCTCCTGTAGATGACACCAGCATGTTGCCCTTAGCTTCTAAGCTTACAAAGCAGAAAAAACACAGGAGGATCAGCTCAGCTTACCTGAAGTTCACACCAAGCAACTTCCACCCACGTCTCTGTGTCCAGACCCTTATAGACCGTTTTGAAGGATCCCCTCCCCAGTTCGATATCAAACTTTAGGAACCTGCCGTCCAGAGAGGTGGCAACTGCTTTCATATCCGCCTCCTCCTCGGGCTCCTCTTTCTTGGACTTGCCCTGATCTTTGGAAGCATCTGTCATCTCTTTCCTCTCCACATCTCTGCCAGTTTCCTTCTGCTCTTCAGCCCCTGCTGTGCCGCCAGGGGCTGGCCCAGTCTTCAGCTCCCCAGCAGGCTCAGCATCCGAGCATGCCTTCTCTGCTGCCCCACGCCCTACCTTGGCCCTCTCCGCAATTATCCTCCTGGTTTTAGAGAGCAGAATAATTTTCCTCTGATGCTCTGACTCAGGAAGGTCGAAAGCAGGTTCCTCCTGGTCCGAGTCCACCACGCTCCTCCGGAGGAACCGCTGATGGACCATTTTGGGGTCCTTGGCGCAAGGCACACGGAGCGGCGGGGTAGGAGCTCTCTCAGTTCCCGGCATTGCAGCAGCGTCCGCGTCCGCCCCACTCCTCCTGCCACCGACGGGCCCATCAATATTCATGCTCGTCTCCGCAGCCGGGGGAGCGCTGGGCTCAGCAGTAGCTGGAAATCCGCCACGGCCGCCGCCTCCTCCGCCTCCC